TTACACATGATTTATGACATTCTTGGGTTTTTACTACATGATGCTCTTTCTTCTGGGAGAACATTCTAAGATACTTTGATGACACGTTTGAATGAACAGATTAAGGGACTATTTTATAAAGATGCCTTGGAATCTTTCATATTTGCGTATGTATGCAAAGATGAAAAAGACATGTGAAAAGTTCTGTTCTGAGAAATATGGTTCCTGAACCAGATGATTGTGAGTAGGAAGAGAGATAAAAATCCCTAATGTTGGAGTACCAGGAGGAAGACAAAGTTACGGAGAATTAAAGTCATAAAGGCGCCCCCCCCCCCCCAACCGCAAATACGCAATGTGCCGACAAATGTAGCTATTGTTATTTGGTGACCCTTGATTCAAAGACTTTGGCACAGATGCCACTCTGCTGTTTGGGGTCTCCTTAGTATAAAGGGACCTACCATTATTCTGCTGACTTGGAGAGTACAAAAATGTCTTGAAAAGTATTGACTTTGACCTGCACCAAATGGACACAATTTAATTGAGATCTAGCCACCAAAGTATCTTATCCTTAGCATCTAGGTTTTGGGCGATGGGACATATTTCCTAACTGTTCACTACAGTCCAAATGCACTTTAAGGACTGGCTGTCAGGTCCTTAATCCATTTAATCTTATGCCTGAAGGATTTAAACAATAAGAGTAGGTGTCCAGAGCTTTATTTTTTTCTTAAAGATTGTGAAAGTGTGCATCCAAACAAAGCTGATACTGATGTGCTGGAAGTAAAGTGGGGGTGGGGACAGGTATAAGCACTGATTTTTAATGGAAAAAGATTTTATTATAATGAAGAGTAGAATTTCCCAGTGACTTAGAGCTCTGATTTGAACTAGTCCACATTATACAGAATGATAAGGATTGATATAATGGAACATTCCAAATTCTGAAAGTTGTTTGTGAAGGACTAGAAAATAGAAAACATTAGTGAAAGCTGAAAAGTATGACTGACCTCTGATGGTAAGATATGTTTTACTCTAATATTCATGAAATTGAAAATTCTAAGTTTCTGAAACATAGAAATTGCAAGAGTGTAACAGAAATAGATGTGCTGGTAACATAACTATGAAAGTGCTCGCCAAAAAATGATTGCTGAAAGTAGATGTGTGAATGAAGTACTAGGAATAGAGAAACAGACAAGGATATCATTAATATAGTATGGTCAGGTAATCAGAGCTTGTACTAGAATGGCAATTCTTAATTTTTAGCTTTGGGAGGAGAGGAATAAAAAAAAAAAATGAGTCCAGAATTGCAAACAGGAACCATTATAGCACTCGTGAAAGGAAAATACACTACGTTCTCACTTAACATCATCCATAGGTTCTTGGAAACTGGAACTTGAAGCAAAACTACCTATAAGAAAACCAATTTTACCATAGGCTAATCCTATATAATAAAAGGGTAATATGTAAATTGTCCTCTCCACCGGGAGTTCGACCAGGTGGTGGGGCCAGCCCACCCGGGTTCCCTCCCCCCTGCCAGTCCAGCCCGATGGACCCCGATCAGGGCAGCCAGCTGGACCCCACCAGTGCAGGAGCCTCTAATTGATATATAAACAAGAGTTAAATTCCTAAAGCATATTTCTGATCACAAAAATGTCACCAGATTTCTAAATAAAGATTCAAAACACATTTAATATTAAACATTGAAATTTGAGTTATATAGACATTTAAGAAAGATGAATAAAAACGATGATTTTTCAACCTGCTTTTTCTAGTTCAGGGTTGGGGATGGGGAGGGGATTGGAGTCTATCCTGGCAACTTGGGGCACCAGGCATGAACCAGCCCTTGACAGGAATCCCTTCCATCTCAGGGCACACTACTCCCACACTCACTCAGACTGGGACATTCACCTCATGTGCATATCTTCAGGATGTGGGAGAAAACTGGAGTACCTGCCTAGAGAACACCAACACAGATACGGGGTGAATGAGCCAACTCTACACAGGACGGGAATAGATTTTTTTTACTCTCAACATGAAAATGAAACAGTACAATTTGAGAACCTGCTGTATCCTGAGTTTTAGGCCTCAAAAAATGTTTGTATTGAAATAACCCATAACACAAATAAATCAGGTTATAGGCTTTTAAAGCTGGAGAGAGATCAGGGTCAAATTACAGATCATATAATTGAGTAGCAGATGTGGGAGGAGGGTACTGAGAGATGAATTATAGTTATCTACATTCTGTGAATGGTGATTTTTTTGTTTTTAATCCTCACCCAAGGATATTTTTTTCCCATTGATTTCTAGAGAGAGTGGAAGGGAAGGGGGAAACAGGAGGAAAAAAAAATCCACATGAGAGAGAAACATCTATTGGTTGCCTACCTGCATGCCCCTTACAACCCCTACTGGAGCTGGGGAATCTGCAACCCAGGTACTCACTCTTGACAGGGAATCCCGTGACCGGGTCTGAGGGCAGAAGGCCATGGCTAATGCTCTAAACAAACCAGCCAGGGTGGCGATTTCTATATTATTAAAGAAAATGAATTTTTTTTTTCTTTTTCAGCCCCCATCTGTTACCCTCTTCTAAGTTCCAAAGATTTTTCTGGAGTGGTATTGTTGATCTTGCTTTTTGCCTTTTCCACTGCCAGTTTGTTTCATAGTCTTTGGTTTTCTGATTTACTTAGAAGAATGTCTAAGGTATAGTATTTAAATATTGGGAGTTGTTGCTTTTTTAGAAATTGATTAGGCTTCTACATCTATTTTGTGAGTTTACTAAATTTTGTTGCATTTTTGTGTGTGTTTCTTTTGTATGTGTGTGCGTGTGGGGGGTTATCCCTAAAAATCTTTTTGGTATTGTTTAATGGGCTTCTGATAAGGAGATGAGGTAAACAGATGTGCTCATTTCTGCTCTCTTTTAACAAGGAACTGAAAATGTATGTTTATTTAGATAGTTTTAGTGCATCGTATGAAGTCTAGTCTGATCTTTGTTTTGCAAAAATATTTACTAAATACCTGGTGTTTCAAAGTGTATGTATGCATTTGGTTAAGGTTGAGAACTTTGCATTTCTGATTGACAGAAATATAAAGTGTCATTTAATGTCAGTTGTAATCATAATCAGGTGCCAAGGACTGCTTGCCCAAGGTTATATAGCGATAGAGCCAAAGATTTGAATAACGGTTGTTCTGTACTTGAGTCCTTTGTTCTTTCTTGAGTATGTTAGGTCTAATGATTTCTTTCAGCTATATTCATCAAATGAAGGTAGAGTAATTTTAAGACTTAAAAATGACTACTGATTTTTATTGAGAATCCTATATAATAATCCTATATAACAAAAGACTAATATGCAAATCAACCTAATGGCAGAACAACCGGTTGCTGTGATGCACACTGACCACTAGGGGGCAGACGCTTAATGCAGGAGCTGCCCCTGGTGGCCAGTGTGCTCCCACAGAGGGAGCGCTGCTCAGCCAGAAGTCGGGCTCATGGCTGGCAAGCGCAGTAGTGGTGGCGGGAGCATCTCCTGTCTCTGTGGTAGTGCAAGCCTCTTCTGTGGACACACCGCCTGTGTGCTCCTTCCCCATCCGGACCAGGATTGGGACCAGTATCGAGACTGACTGGATGCAAGCCTGCGGCTGCTTCTCACTCATGAGCACACCGGTATCGCCCTAGGATGGGTGCACAGAGACCATAGTAGAGTGGCAACAAGCCTACCGAGTGGTGGTGGTGGCAGGCGCAGCAGGGCCATGATGAGCAGGAGCGGCGTGGCACCGGGCCTGGGCTTGGGCTCCTCCCTGGCCGCCTGCTGCTTCCTGCACTACTACATCCCTCGGGGGATGTTGAGCTGCCAGTTTTGGCCTGATCCCCGCAGGCCATGCTGAGGGACCCCCCCAGTGGTGCACGAATTCATGCACCAGGCCTCTAGTCTATTTATATTCATTACAAAATGGTTTTGAGGCAGTGTACTCACCCTTTTTTTTAAGCAAAGAAGGAAGAGAAGTTGTAGGAAAAATAAGATTAGGTTAATGGTAAGGTTAGTATTACTACTGTGGTCTTTTCGGCCCCGGTGAGGCCGGGATGGCCCCGGTGAGGTTGAAACGGCCCTGGTGAGGCTGAGACGGCCCTGGTGAGGCTGAGACGGCCCCAGTGAGGTTGGGACGGCCCCAGTGAGGACGAAACGGCTCCAGTGAGGTGGTGACGGCTCCAGTGAGGTTGGGACAGATAATGGGGACCAGTATAGACTGATGAACAGGGGTAGATGCAGAGGCAGAGCAGCATTGAACAGACTGTCAAACTACAATGGGAAGCCTGGGGAGGGTTGGGGGGGCGTTAAGAGATCAACCGAAGGACTTATGCATGCATATAAGAATAACCAATGGACACAAGAGACTAGGGGGTAGGGGCCGGGGGAATGTCAAGGGGGGGAAAAAGGAGACATATGTAATACTCTTTGTAATACTTCAAGAAATAAAAATTATAAAAAAAAGAATGTGGTCTTTTCAGTTATTAAAGGTGGGCTATAATTTAATATTTATAACTAATATTTATAATAAATTTGAGTTTTTTCCTCCATGCCAAGTACTGTGGTAAACATTAGTTATTTTACTTGATTCTCAGTTACATGAGGTATGATATCTTATTTAAGAATGTATAAGTGATAGAGAGCCTGGCATGTGACTCCTGAAAGCCTGACCCTATTATTAGTCACAGTACTAAATACTGACTCACTTAGTTTGAGTATTGACTAATACCTATGATGTTTCCGGCTTTTTACTAATTTCAAGTTGGTATGTGAAACTGAGGTTATAGTACTGTGTGAAAACAGGTTCAGAGAGTTTAAATAAATTCCAAGTCTTACATTTCACAAATGATGAGATGGAAATCAAACCCAGATTTGCCTAATTCTAAGCTCTGTTCTTTTTTAGTACTCCATATTTTCTTTATATCTCTAGTATTATTGCCTTTTAGAGTTAACATAATGTTTAACTGAATATTGATATACTTTTAATAATGTTTTTGGCTTTTGCAGGGATTTATCAAAGATGTTCATGAAGACTCCCTCACAGTTGTTTTCGAGAACAAGTAAGTTGTTTATTTATTGATAGAGATCTTAATTTTATTTTTTAAAAATATATTTTATTAATTTTTTACTGAGAGGAAGGGAGAGGAATAGAGGGTTAGAAACATCCATGAGAGAGAAACATGCATCAGCTGCCTCCTGCACACTCCCCACTGGGGATGTGCCCGAAACCAAGGTACATGCCCTTGACCGGAATCGAACCTGGGACTCTTAAGTCCACAGGCCGACACTCGAGCCACTGAGCCAAACTGGTCAGGGCGAGATCTTAATTTTAAAGATGGGTAGTGCCAAACGGTTTGCTTTTGATTCTTCCTGTTGCCAGTGAAAAATGACCGCTTTTGGAAAGGCTTTTATTGGCTCGGTCATCTTATGAATTTAAACAATTCTAGTTTTGATAACTCTTCGCCTGTTTTTCTGCCCACCATTTACTCATTACTTTTTTTCATGACCCTTTTCTTTGCCAAAACACATGTGAAAATGAATCAGTAAGTAGTTTTTGCAAAAATAGATGGCACAAATGGGATTTTAATTCTTAAAAAAGCACAGATATTAAAATAATGTTGTAGGAAGCCTTCTGAGTGGCTACTGGTAGTCATTTTCAAATTGTTTAAATATTAAGGAATTTCAGTTTATAGCTATTGTAACAGCTAGGTAATGTTTTAAAATATGGAAGACAGTAGGCTGGCTTTGTTTAGGAAGGGTTATAAAGGAGCACTATGTAACTGAAGGTCAGAAAAGAACTGTTCAACTTTCACTTTTAAGCTGCTCTGGAACTGCCTGAAAAGATATCTGCCCAATAGCTGTTTCATGTAGAAACAAGTGTTGTGATGATTTCTGTCTTTGAGCAGCTGCCATTTAGATAGTAATGGTGAAAAGAAAGCACTCAAAAATCTTTTACTTGCCTTCTATTGTGTGTGTGTGTATCCCATGCATCCCATGAAGATAGATACTAAAAGAACATTTTATGTGCTGGTATACCTTTCAGGCATATGAATGACCTATTAGAACTTAAAGTTATTCATCAACTCAGCTTATAAAATACAACATAAAAAATGTCAGTTAAACAATAGCTAAATTAGTAACTTTGATATATATTTGCTACAAACATTTAAACTAAGCTTTCACTGGTTTTAATTATGTATGTGTTCATTGTTGAAAAGATAATTTTTATGTGAGGAAAATGAACCTCAATGTAATTCAGCTATTCAAAATAATTGAGTAATTTTCTGTGTTTCGTGAACATGTACTAAAACAGAATTATGCTGTTTATATTGTTTTATAATCTCTTGAATTATGTCTCATCCATTTATAAATGTGTTTGAAGTTGATTCCACTGCTGTTATTTGGCAGTGGTGTTGATGTGATACTATTTTGAATCTAAGTTACTATTATGAATGTAGCCCATATCATTTGCAGAATAATGTATGTACTGTTCCCTTAGAATGAGTAATTTGGCAGGTAATATGTAATTATTTCAATGATGTTAATTATTTATAAACTTCATCAAGAATCATGTAAAATTTGTTCCACCTCAACAAACTAATTACTTCGAAAATATATAGTATGAAAGTTGTTTTTCTTAGGGAAAGCTAAATGATTAATTTGAAAAAAATATAGCACTAAGCATAGATTATATAGCTTCCATATTAGGGGGTATTGGGATACTATATTTTGATATTGTTTATTTCTCTTCTAATCCTTCAGTTGGCAACCAGAACGTCAGGTTCCATTTAACGAAGTTAGATTACCACCACCACCTGATATAAAAAAAGAAATTAGTGAAGGAGATGAAGTAGAGGTATGTATTTGTAAGTTTATTTTCTTGTATGCCTATTATTTTGTTTTAAATAAATATTCTTGTAGGAAAATCTGTTTAGCTGATGGAGAATAAATCTAATTCCATTTCTCTTTCTGTTGGCAATGGCTGTGTAAGTAACATACTTTAGTTTGGAGTCAGAACTGGGATTCATGTCTCAGCTCTACAATTATTAGCTTTGTGGCTTGGTCAAATTTCTTTATCACTAAAATGAAATGTGAGAGTTAAGGATGATAGTGCATTTGAATTGCTTTGCATGGAATCTGGCACAGTGAACTAATAATCATGTTAGTTCTTGGTTTCCTTCTTTTTCCTAATTATTTTAAAATTTGTCTTGTGCTTTCTTCCTCAGTATCTTTGTAAAATACTAATTATCACTCTTTATTATAGTGATCATTGATATAGTTTATATGTAATGTGAAATATTGTAATTAGTATACTGCCTTGTTGAATATTCTAGAAATATCTGGAGCTTTTCTAAAGTATAGGGAAAATTCATTTTCATTTAAAAATTCTGCCCAGATTTTAGCTCTAAGTTTCCTGTGTACTCTTGCTTTTGCTAAATCAAAAAGCATGCTATAACTTAATTGTGTTGGGGCACCACACCATGAGCCCACTCCCTAATAATGTTACAGCCTTTCACTTTACTCACCTTTTTCTTTTTTAGTTGACCAAAAGTGGGTACTTTTTTTGTATGGAAACCTGTAAATGTAGTCTCAGAGTGGTGTGTATTTGTGTCTGAGTACCAGTAGGTGGGTCCTATGAATTGTAGCAGTAATGCTGCTGATTACTACTGTACTATGTTCACTTGGACATTAGACTCCAGTAAAAAAGTTGTGTGTTTTTTTCTTTTTTCTAAGCAGAAGCAAACTTTTATTTAGAAAGTTCCCAGAGGTAGCAGAAGTGAGCCAGCTGGGCTGCATGGACTCAGGAAATAAATTGCAGAGGCAAAAGAAAAGCCTTTGGAGCTTAGGAAACAGAAAGGCAAAGAACATTCATCCAGGGGAAGGTGAGGAGAGAAAGGCAGGGGCCTGCTTCAGAGAGCAAGAGAGCCCTGGAGAAAAGGGTGTGGAAAAGCAGGGTGTGCTCAAGAGAGAGAAAGAGCAAAGAGTGAACTTGTATTCTTTTCTAATCAATACCTTTCTGTGAGGATTGATAAAAGAGTTTGATTTGCTTTCATTTTAAAAAATTCGTTTTAGAAGTCCCGTCACCCCCCCCCCCCCCCCCCGAATTCTTAGTTTTGTTCTAGAATTAGAAATATGTGGTGGCCAATTCTGAGAATAGTGCAGAAGTATTGTTTAGACACTTATTGGTAGTTTAAAGGCTCAGATGAAAGGAAAAGCTTAGAGCGCTAAGGATGTTAACAGTGTGCTTTCCCCAATCTCAGACAAGGGAGGCTTTATCTATTTCTTGGACCACCTTTGTTGTTCATTTGGAAATTGATGATTGCTGAGTGTTTAATTTCAGTTTATTTTCTGTTTTAGTCTTAGTGAAATTTGCTCCTTATAGTGTGAGAGTCTGTACCTGAAATTAAGATGTTGCTGTCATTTTTTCACTTGAAAGTTTTGAAAATTTACATAAGGAAGAAGCTTAAAGTTAATCTTGCCACCTTTATTTTTTTCCCCCCCTTTGGTCACCAGTACTTAGGAATCTGTCCATATGACCTGGAATGTTTAGGAATTATGGTTGTTAGGTTTTATATTTTGAACCAAATAATTTTTTGAAAGCCCCCCCCATTCCCTTTAAATTTAAAATAATAAAAGATTAGTCTAATAAAATGGTAGAGAATTAAATAAAGTGGGAATTTTCCCTCTTAGTGTAGTTGTGTAGGTGTGCTTATTGCCCACCCCAGTTTTAATCTCATTTACCAGAGTTGAGCACCTCTTCAGATTTTTTTAAACATATATATATATATATATTTTCTTTTTATTGGTTAAGGTATTACAAATGTGTCCTCATCTCCCCACTAACCCCCAACCCCCAACGCCCCCCCCCCCCCCCCCCCCACACACACACACACACACACTCATGTTCTCATCCTCCTGTTGTCCATGTCCATTGGTTTGGCTTATATGCGCTGTTTCCCACGAGGGCAAGGTTTCAGGCAGGAACGAGCCCTCAGAGCACGGATGCACTGCGTCCTGGATAGCCTTGCCAAGGGCTGTGCCCTCCCTGAGCTGTTTCCCCTGAGGCCTGAGGGAAGAACCCACCCTTGGAGTGCCAGGAGTGCCCAGTAGCAGTCAGTCCTGGGTTGCTGAGGTGGAGGCCATGGCGTGGTAGAACTCTGGGTCTGGCCCAACAGGGGTCATGGCCGGCCTTCAAACCAGACCCTGACAGCAGGGAGGAGGGAGCCCCATTCCTCACAGAATCCGCTGTTGGATAGCTTGCTGTCAGTGGCTTGCCAGCCAGGAAACTCATTCACCTGCACCCTGGACTCTGACAGGAAGGAGGAGGGAGCCCATTCCTCATGGAATCGACAGGTGGCCAGCTTGCTGTCAGGGGCCTGCCAGCTAGGAATCCTATTCATCTGCATATCTGTATAAAGTTTTAATACATTATATTAGAGGTTGTGGCGGTTCTATTTTACCCACAGCATCTACAGGAATTGCTGCAAATTTACTTCTCGGTGGTAGGACCTTTCATTCCCAATATAAATTACCAATCCCATTAAATGAAACTTCAATTTCTAGACTCGATATAAACAGTGAAGTTGCTAAAACTATTAAAAAGGCCCAACTTCTCATTGATGAATGCACCATGGCATCCAGTCATGCTATAAAACGCCATAAACAGATTACTAAGAGAAATTATGAATTTGAATGTTGTATTTGGTGGGAAAGTAGTTCTTGGAGGGGATTTTCAACAATGTCTCAGTATTGTACCGCATGCTATGCGATCGGCCATAGTTTAAAGTACTGCAATGTTTGGGGATGTTTCAGAAAGTTGTCTCTTACAACAAATGTGAGATCAGAGGATTCTGCTTATAGCGGATGGTTAGTAAAACTTGGCGATGGCAAACTTGATAGCAGTTTTCATTTAGGAATGGATATTATTGAAATCCCCTGTGAAATGATTTGTAATGGATTTATTATTGAAGCTACCTTTGGAAATACTATATCTATACATAATATTAAAAATATATCTAACCATGCAATTCTTTGTCCAAAAGCTGAGCACGTTCAAAAATTAAATGAAATTTTGTATATACTCGATGGAGATTTTCACACATATTTGAGTGATGATTCCATTGATTCAACAGATGATGCTGAAAAGGAAAATTTTGCCATCGAATTTCTTAATTTCCTTCGGGAATGCCGTGTCATAAAATTGAAAGTGGGTGCAATCATCATGCTTTTGAGAAATCTTAATAGTAAATGGGTTCTTTGTAATAGTACCAGATTTATTATCAAAAGTTTACGACCTAACATTATCGAAGCTGAAGTATTAACTGGATCTGCAGAGGGAGAGGTTGTTCTGATTCCAAGAATTGATTTGTCCCCATGTGACACTAGCCTCCCATTTAAAATAATTCGACGAGTTTCCTGTGATGCCAGCATTTGCGATGACTATTAATAAATCACAAGGAAAAACTGTAGACAGAGTAGGCATATTCTTACCTGAACCCATTTTCACACATGGTCAGTTATATGTTGCTTTCTCTCGAGTTCGAAGAACATGTGATGTTAAATTTCTAAATACTTCATCACAAGGGAAGTTAAGTCAAGCACTCTGAAAGTGTTTTCACTCTTAATGTGGTGTATAGGGAGATATTAGAATAAGTTTAATCACTTTATCAATCATTGTTTGCATCACTGTTGCTTTTATATCATGCCTCTGTTGTTATATCCTTTTGTTACTGTTTATTAATAAATGTATATGTTTTCATATACATTTACTAGTTTCCTTTCATCTCTCACACTTACATTATAGAGAAAGGGCAAATAGCAATATTAAAATATTTCCTCTAATTCCCTTTTAATGTGCACGAAATTCGTGCACCGGGCCACTAGTACATTATAAATTTGTGACTTTTGTTTTCAGTTAATTAGGATACCATAAACATTTTCATGTCTGAACATACAGATTACATCACTTTTTCTAAGCATTCCATAATATTTCTTAGTTCTTAGTTCTAGAAGACATTGAAGTTAACAATTTTTTTGCTGTTACAGAAAAGCTAGAATTAATTAATGGTCTTTTATATAAACATGTTCTGGTAATACAGTTCTAAGTGGTATAGTTGCTGAATCACAAGGCATGTTACTTAAAATTTTGATATCAAAATGTATTATTTAAATACAAAATGTATCATTTGGTCTTCTAAAAATGCTTTTTTGAATTAACACTTCATAACACCTGAAGGTGTTTGTTTCCTCATTGATTGACTGGCTGGGTTATTATTAATCTGTAAAGTTTTAAAAAAAACCAATAGAACAGCGGTTCTCAACCTGTGGGTCGCGACCCCTTAGGCGGTCGAACTACCCTTTCACAGGGGTCGCCTAAGACCATCCTGCATATCAGATATTTACATTACGATTCATAACAGTAACAACGTTACAGTTATGAAGTAGCAACGAAAATAATTTTATGGTTGGGTCACAACATGAGGAACTGTATTTAAAGGGCCAGAAGGTTGAGAACCACTGCAATAGAAGAAAGCTGGTGTCTTCTCATTCTTCCTTTCCTTGATTATGGAGTGTTTTTTAAATTAGATTATTGGCTGTTGACCTATGGTTCTGTGATTTTATTTTTTTTGTCCTTGTAGTTTTTGATGTAGGCATTCTTAGCATTTTATGGATAAGTTTTTATCTGTTATATGTTGTGTTGTCTTTCAGACAATTTAAATAATACTCTGTGGCTTTCACCATTAAGAAGTTATACTTTTACTTATTCAGATCTGCCAGTTTTTTTTGTGTGTGGCCTCCAATACTCATTCTAGTATTTCTATAGGTTTGTGCTCCACAAGAGTATTTAGGTTTTTA